GTGAAACTGTTTTACTTTGCTGCTTGAATGTTTTGTTTTCTGACATTTTTGATATTTCTTATTAAGAAAACTAAATAAACACAGGAATTTCAACTAGAAAAGATTTTTATATTTATTTTTTGTAAATTAGTCTATATTACTCGATCAACAAAAAATAATCGTTAATGAATCAAAAATAATAGTCGTTAGACTAATAGAGTAATCGTAAAAATAATCGTTAGATTAATTGAGAGATAAATAATCGTTTAGGACAGCACTAATGAAAATGTGACAATTTGACTACTGACAGCATGGGACGAGAATATATCTTAAACAAAGGTAGCTTCTACATTAGATAAAGCGAAAAATATATATTTATATATTATAGGCTCCTTCCTTGTTGCCTCTGTATTCTCTGTAAAGACTCATCAAACACAAGACATCGGTCAAAATTCCACTGACTACTAAGCACAACAAAGTTCAAATTTACGAAAGATAGCAGTTCCTCTATGTAACGGTTTGTTTGCTCAAGTAAATGGTCATGTCTTGTTAGTATTGGCATGACTTCTCCTTTTGTAATAAGCTCATCACCCCAGAAAACTAAACAAGCAAATGGAATGCTACAAAAAAAAACAACAAGATAAAGCAAAGTGAAAGTAAATAGGTCATATTAAAAAAGCATATTTCTTTTTTTCAACCCTTTAATTTTACAGACAAATTTATAACAGATGAATAAATCCAAGCTGAAAAAAACAATTCCTATCTTTCTTTTGCATGGCTATGACTGTGTTATCTTGGGGATTCATTATTTCACATCTCCTTCTAAGGCATTGCGGTAAAAGATCAAGAAAAAGATACTATTTATCATCTGCCATCAAGCTTGTAGATTAAATATATCAGCAAGGTAGGAATGTCAAAAATCTCTTAACTCCATAAGCATCAACATACCTCTAAAGAGAGGTGTCCAGAATCAAAACCCCCAAAAAGAAACTAATATTTGTTAAAATTTTGATATAAACAAACATTCCATTATACATTTTTATAACTGCCATGTCTACAAATCTTTTCATCTAACTGATCAAAAGTTGCCAATACTTGAAGGTTGTAACTTCTCTTTTTTTATTATTTCTGTTCATCATCCACAACATTATAAGAATATTTGTGCAAAATAGTGACAATGGTTTCACAAGGAACTTTGGCTCAAAGTTCAATAAAATAGATATTTTTGGGACGTGATTGAGATAATCCCCTCAATAAACAGTAAATACCACAAACAATCAACAACCAAGTTGAGCTGTGAGGTGAATATTTAGAAATGCAATGTTGTGAAAATGAAAGCCAGGAACAGAAAGAACATCACAATGAAGTGATGAAACTACAATGTTCACAGGTTTGAATGTTTGGATGTCTTCATGTCGGCAGCCAGTGAAGGTTAATGAGATAGTTGTGTAACTGAGGCTTTTATCACAGTCTGAGCTGTGACACAAAACTAGACACTAGTAAAAATACAGTATTACCACATTGGCATCCAAAAAGAATCTGATTAATGTCAAAATAATTGATGTCCTTCAAAGTGGAGCTTGAGAAGATAGCATGAGATAGGCACGAAATCTGGTTTATTGCCACAAAAATTCAGGATTAGAAAATTTACAAAAATGTAACAACTAATGCTATACAATAGCCATGACATGGCCTCAGGAAAAAAAGAGGATGAAATATCAGACTAAGACAAGAAGCTACCATAAATTCTGTTAGGAAACACAAGAACAAGATTACTAAACTATCAGCACAAGGGCTGTGTATTGGCAAGAATTTGGTGATACGATACATATCATAACAGAGGGGTCACGATACAATATATCCCGATATATTGCGATACTATAAGCAAGGCGATATATTGCGATGTATTGCGATTTTTTGTCCAAAAGTTCTATTAAATAAAAACCTCTTACAGGGGAAAAAATGAAAAACCAAAATTCATTGTCTCAGGAAATTCTAATATTACATAGACATACTTTTGATACATTTAGCTGTGTTCTGCTTTGTGTGTATTTTTTGTTTCATATTTCTTATTGCATCCATGTTTTCAATTATTAGACTAAATTTGACAATAAATAGTTTGAAAATATATTTTTTGCAGCTTTTAGTTTTTAATATTAATTTACAATATGGTCACCCAACACTTAATAATAGCCTCTACCTCAAGAGGTAGAGGAGRCAAATGGCTGGCTCACTGCTGCCAACTAGTGGTCAGAGGCTGAACTACAACATAAAATGAACGGCTGGCAGGAAAGTTGACATTTTAAACCTTAAAAAAATCAATACAGGGCTTTAGAATATCGATACAGTATCAGGAAATGAAATATCGCAATATTTCAGTGTATCAATATTTTCTTACACCACTAATCAGCACTGTTAAATCAGCCTGAACTGTGCATCAATCAGAGATGGGATAAATGGCTCTTTGAAGGAATCTGGATTTTGGGGAGCCGTTTGTTTCATAGAGCCGTTCAAACGAGCCGTTTGATTTTGAATGGGTTACGTCATCACGTAGGTAAATACATCATTGCGTCGCTGTATGTGACGACGTCATCACGTTACGTGGGTGGAACCACAGGTTTTGCCAAGCAGACCCCCCACCCCCGGTGAGCTTCTGTGCTCCACAGCTCTGTCTGTTTTCCAGGAAAAAGCAAGGCGGGAGCGATTTAAGGATGAAAAAATAAAGATTATATGAGGAATAAAAGGAATAAAACTACAATAGGCTCATTACTGCCCGCGACTCGGCTCCTATCGTTCGTTGTAAAAAGAGCCGTTCAAAAGATTCGGATCGTTGGCGAACGTCACATCTCTAGCATCAAAGCATTTCTCAACCTCGATGCTGCTACGTTATTAGAGAGAGGTGAGAACCCTGTGGCAGGAGGAGCACAGAGATGTTACAGGATGTACAAGTGGGGAATGACGGTGGAGAAAAGGTCAAAGGGCAGTGGCTTGAAGAGGAACTGATTGGTGGTGTGAGGGTTGTGCACGTTTTGATGCTCACAAGTCTCCGAACAAAAACAGCAGAAAAGTAAAACTACCACAAATAAGAAGTTATTCTTGAAGAGTGGAAACGATTTGGCCTGACTTGGGGGCAGACGTCCATGGTGATGTCTCCTCTGCCGCACATCACATAAGCTTATCGGGAACTACCATTCCCACAACTCAACATCTCACTTGAGATTTCTATCAAGATGCTGTCCTGGAAGAGCTGCCACAGAATAGAGGCATGCACATCTCCACTCATACAAAGGACGTGACTCACAAACCCACCACGAGACACACTGCTGCTTTTCAGCCCACTTTCAATTGGAACTGAATAGTGACTCAGTCCTGCCAGTACAGCAACGCATCTGATCAACATCCTCTGCTGAACAACCTGCTACTTTCACAAAGGCACTTACAGCAAACTCGTCCGGGTGCACTGAGGTTTAGAATGACGAGCCGGTCAAACTTGATAATCACACAAAGGCAGTTAAAACAACTTCAGAATTGTAAATCACGAGTCACTAAAATCCTCAAAATTACCACAAAGCGAATTACGTTTTTGCAAAAATATGAATTTGTGTCAGAATTCACAGATTCATTCTCGTATCAGAGCTGCCAAAAAAAATGTGCCCAATAAAAATAATCCACGTCTTAATCTGTTTGCGCAGAGTTTTCCGCCTTCTGGGACAGAATGAGTAAACTTGCATAACAAGTTTATCTCCTTTTAACTTGTCTACAACAGAGGCTGTTTGCTTCGTGCATGACTGAGCTGAATTTAATAACCTAAGCTTGCAACATTTTGCTGACAGACTCAGGATCTTGCATTATGCGAGTTTATTATTTCAGCCTGCATCATCCTGATATTAGTCTGCTCAACTTGTCGGGTTCTGGACCAGTGAGAAAAACTCCCTCTCACGTCATCGAGGAGTGATTCAGAAGGAAGCAAGCATGTGAGAGACAGGGAATGGGGGGGAAACAAAGAGATAAGTGGAACAGTAGATGTAAATAATATGGGGCTTATGTTCACAGTTAGGATAAAACTCATTTAAACCAAGAGTTTGTCCAGCTCATGAAGCTGTATGAATCCAGCTGACAAAATCTCATGCTTAGAGGTTTGAGATAGCATCTGAATCTTAATAAACAACATCCTGCATCTTGAAAACGTTGCGGCTTATCAGCAGGTTACTGCGGGACAAAACAAAATTAGAAAGGAAAACTGTGCTCAGACTGAACATACTTATTGTTTTTACCTTTAGAAGCAACACATTGGAAACTTCTTAATGAGGCGCGTGACTCGAATAATTCCCACTCATGTTCTTTAGGGGTTTCCATTTGTGCCATTTAAGCACCACAGCTATTTCTTGTTGACTACAACAGCCACAAAGACTATTTTATGATTTAGGAAATTTGTCTAAACGATAAACCCTAATCTTTAGACCCTCCAGTGAGCAGGCCTGTTATGCAAAACGTAGTCTATTTTAAAACACTAATCCAAATATCCAAATACTGTAAATCTGCCTCTTTAAGCTGCACACCACAGAACACTATTTTATACCAAAGGAAATTAACCCAAAAGAAACAGGAAAAGCACAGCCATCTGCTACAGATCTTCAAAGCGTATATACATCTGATAACACGTTCAAAATATCACAACTCACCTCGTTTCATTAACTCTATATATAAACTCGGAGAACAGCCCCTCCCAAAAATAAATAAATAAATAAATAAATGGGAAGGAAAAAAAGCAGAAATAATAAGATAAGCAGCAATCTCAGTGGAATGGAGGAAAACAGAGTGGCTCTGTTTGAAACCTTGAAACGTCAAAACATCTGAGGTTTGTGAATCATGGGGAGGGGAAGTGGATCAACACCCAAAAACATCTGAATATAAAAAAACAGTCCAAACATTCAGGCTGTCAGATTAGAAATATGTAATCCCACAGGGGACAAACAGTCTGCTTTAACCAGACATGGGCAGATTGAGCAAAACAGCCGAAGGTAAACTCAACTTAACTTAACTTTAAATAAATAAATAAATAAATAAATAAATAAATAAATAAATAAATAAATAAATAAATAAATAAATAAATAAATAAATAAACAAACAAACAAACAAACAAACAAACAGTCACCTGTTCTTCCTTCATAAGGAGGCACTGAAAAGCAGAACTGGACTGAACTCAGATAAGCTGAAATCTCTTCGCAACATTAATTTATAATTAGTACCTGGTCAAACTAACGGTCAGTGTCTGAAAATAACCCGTGACAACTCGGGTTATATTAGGGTTAATACTTTGGAAACACGCTCTGCTGTCTGAGTGCATTTGTAGCTGTTCCTGCTGCGCGAGACAAGTTTAACGTGACAGAAAAGTTACTCTGTAAATAGTATTTACTCACCTTTGTAAAAAAAAATAAAAAAAATAAAAAAATAAATAAATAAAAAGAAGTGCGAAACCAAAGTGTCCGACTTGGTTTGATATGTTTTTATTTTTTATTTGTCCTCGACGAGAACTCCGCGGCCGGGACTGCGACGCCAAACAGCGGACAGCATTTTCTCACGGATGGAAAACCACTGCAGAGCGATAAGTGATTCACCATCAAGTTAACTAGATGGATGTGGGTACTTCCGGTTAGACCTTTCAGAATAAAACTGGCTCTGTGAACTTTGAGCGCATTGTATTTTATTTTGAATGAGTTTAACCCGACGATATTTTTGCTAACTATGGATTCTTTGATGCTGAAAAAAGTACAAAACTTCCGCAAGTCCGTCATGTGACCACTGTGAAAGACTGGCCAGTCCAGTCTTCTTGAAAATACCTTTACTGGAAGACAGCTTCATCATCCATACTGTGCAAATGTTTTAAACCACTACTTTGCCTGTTTTTTTAATATACTTTTTAAAAGTATTATTGATTAATGGCTTCTCAGGATTTCTTAGCGGTGAAGTTCATAGTGAGGCACTCAATGAATCAGATTTACAAATACATTATATGAAACCTAACTTATTCACCATATGATTGGCAGAAGTTACTGAGTTAAGTTTCATATCTCATATATCAGTGTTTTTTACACAAACTGCAACTTATTTGATGCACATTTCATCAAAACAAAGTTATATGTCCTACATTTAGTGGTGGGCAGCACTAATCTAAAAATTAGTTCCACTAGCCCTAAAGCACGTTAAGTCCCCTAATTCTAAAGCACTTAATGCACTAAAAGTTTTATCAAAAGCTAATTTAAGCACTAAAATAACCCAGTCAACCCATGAACATTCTTCAACAGACAACATGAGTCACATATTGCCATGCTGCTCTCTTAATACTTATCATTGACATTCCACAGCCTTATTTGTGTTCATATATTGTCATATGGTGGATAAGTGACAAAGAATTTTGAACAAAATGTGTGACAGATTTCACCATCAGCTGTTAACAATAAAGTTGATCAATAACATTTAAAGACCTCAGTTAGTGCTGCTAAATTTAGCCTATAAATTTAGCAAGTGACAATCCACTAATAAATTTGAAAATTAGCAAAAGCACTAATCAGGAAATTAGTTTCCCTATTAATGCTTTGGTGCTTTAGGGCAGTGTTTCCCAAAGTTGGGGTCGGGACCCAAAGTGGGGTCCCGAAACATCAAGGTGGGGTCGTGAAAAGATTTCATGAATTAATTACATTTTTGCCTTATTTGTTACAAAGGAGTGAGTTTAGTGTATTTAAAATGGATAAATGTAGTATAAAATTTTGTTGCTATGCCATGTTTTGTTGACCTGATATTTATCATACAAAATTAGCTGGGGGCACATGTCTCTGCTACTGTT